GGTTGCAGCTGGGTGGAGTGGGGCTGGGTGGCACTCCCTCCCTGCCCCCCTCCCTTGTCCTGTGCCCACTGAATGTTCCTCCATGCCTCCGAGGGGGGTGCACTCCACAGTTCGGGGACCACTGCTGTGGAGATCTCTGACACAGGTAACCTTGCCAGACAGTGGAGCGTGACTGACGGCTGTCACAGAGTCACTCTATAATGCTCCCATGTCAGTGTCCAAGTTCAGGCCCCAGTTTGCTCTCTCTCTCTCTCTACTGCCTTCAAAACACTTTGCAAACATTAAGTAACTAATGGCTGCACGGTTATTGTGTCTGTGATTCAAAACCAAATTTGCACAGTTTACAAATTAAAAAGTAAAAGTTATTTTTCTAGCGGCTAGCTGAATCTAGCTGCAGTGCTGGCAAATGGTGGCTGATTCAAAACAAGGCATGAATCCTAGAGAGCATCTAATGTGCAGTGCTCTGAGGGGCATTTCTTCCTAACCCGGGCTGGTGAGCAACTAGTGCCTGGAGCATACAGATGGATTCGCCTTGTGCAGGGGGCCAGGACACAAGTCCCATTTAAGATGTATGGTGGCTTCAATGGTTCCTGGCTTTACACTGGCTCTCTGCAGAGGGGTTTATTTCACTAAGCAGAAAGGGCAGACAGAATAACTTTTAAAAAAGTATTTACCTTGTACCTGAAGTTGTCCATCGGCACAAAATCCACCAGCATGAGGTACTTAGCGTAAGGGATCAAGCCAGAGATTTTGATTTTGCACTGCGGAAACATTCGTCTGAAGAATAAATAAAATCTACATTATAAAAAGTATTGAGTTTTCTTTAATGGCCCAATCAGGTATTAGGTCTTGTTTGCTCTCTGTCAGGTAAACTGCTGGTGAGAGCAGCACTAGTGTAGACCAGCAGTGAGCATTTTTACCAGCCTATTGCCTATTCCAGCTCAGAGTACGTCTAGATGACACAGTGGTTAAAAGGCCAGCAGTTGCAGGTGGCCTGTCTATTCCAGTACTCCTACTGTTACAACCCCCATAATGCAGCAGTAGGAAATTTAAGAAAAAGTTAGTGTAGCCCAGGTTTCAAGCTTACAGTTGCACCAGGGCTAGAAACAGTGTATCAGAGATGGAAAACAGCTTAGAAACAGTTCTGTGTAGGTGGCACCCATCTGAAAATCTATTGAGCGCTCTCCTAGCAAGTCCCCACCACCTCCATTCCTCCTTATGACCCTGAAAGAGTTTTTAGCCCCTATGCTGCGAGGACTTGTCTCCCAGCTCTCCCTACCCACTGAAGATCCTGTGTCAGGTCTCAGAGGCTCTGGCACCCTCTCTGCTTGCTTTATCTTGCACAATGAATTAAAATTCCACATACTCTAGCTATAAAATCCAGAATATATCATGCACTCCAGGGCATGCAGGATTTCAATTTAAGAGCAGCCTGGGCCTCAGATCCTGTCTTTTCCTTGCCTTGTTCTTGTTCACAGACAGAACGAACGCCATACATTCAGCTCTCATTCTCCTTTGCAGCGTCCATCTTGAGTGCCAAGTCCCCAAGCTGGCCATCAGGAACATCCCAAGTATTTAGTCTATCAATGTGCCCTAGACTAGCTTTTTGTCTTTTATATTCAAAGGACTTGCCTACAATGCAGCATCAATATGTGCTCATGAGGCAAATGGGCTCTAATACTCAATCCTTGTGTGCCAGCTTCACAGCAACGGGGAGGGGACACAAACTACTACATGCAGGAGCTACCGAATGGGTTTTTCAGGGTACCAGGCGGTGCTTAAATTGTGCCAGGGCTGAGGCTGACACCTCTAGGCTTGGCAGTTCATACCCCCAGCATCTCTGGGCTTGTCGCATTAGTTACAAAAATAAAAAATTGCTTGAGCCTGTAGCGGATTGACGACTCACTGGTGCAGCACCTCCTGCTGGCCGTCTCAGGAATTAGCTCTTTCCAGCCCGGAGTGCCCTCTGCAGGCCAGTGTCTTGCCTGCCGCTGGCCCCGTGTCACTCCCAGACCCTGGTGCCCTTTACCCAGGGGTTCTGCCCACCACAGTACCCCCTCGCTCTGGGTCTCCCTACCCAGGGGAACCCCAACCCTCTATCCCCAGCTTGCCTCAGTGGCTACTGCCAGTCTCCATCTAGCCCCCGCTCACTGGGGCAGACTGTATACCACGCATCATCGGCAAGGGGGGTTAGGACCTGCTGCCTTTGCCTATCTCTGGGCTGCCTCCCTGCAGCCCCAGTACCTTTTTGGCCTTCTTAGTAAGGCCTGCAGCCTCGGGTTTTACTAGTCTGGAGTGCCCCAGCTCCCTCTGCCCTGCCCTGCCCCAGCACTGCTCCACCTCAAGTACCCTTCTCAGCTACCAGGCAGCCAGGTCCTTCTCTCTCAGGAAGCTAGAGAGAGTGTGTGTTTTAGCTTCTGGCCCACTGCCCTCTTATAAGGGCCAGCTGGGCCTTGATTAAGCTGGCCACAGCTGTGGCTGCTTTCCCCATCAGCCTATCTTTTCCCAGCTGCAGCCCTCTCCAAGGCTGCTTTAACCCCTTCAGGGCCGGAGCCCCAGCACCTAATTGCTTGAGCCCGGGCACCTCTTTCATTAAAAAATTAAGCACTGGCACCAGACACTAAGTGACCTGGGTGATATTCCTAATTCAGAGTTTATGAGCCTTCAGTAAACCCTGATGCTGCACTTGTTCTGCAAGGAAGGGGAGGAGAAGGGTAACAATATAATTGGCTTAAAAACTAGCCTAAGAGTGGCCTTTCCAAAAGTGACCTCTTAGGAAAGCTCTGGAATGCAGCTTGCAGGGAGAGGGCATACACTGCTTTCTTGCCTTCCTTACCTGCCAGACTTGGTGATGATCATCTCAGTTCCTACTTGATGAAACTGCATCCAGAGGTCCATGTCTTCTAGGGTAACCACAATGGAGCTCTGAGGGTAAGGCTCCAGGCTGGAGGAAGGAAGTGCATCACACTGAGCTTTCACATCTACCAGGAGAGAGTAAAGAGAGGGATACCTCAGACAGTGAGGAGGAAAGTCAACATGAAATAGCACCATAATGCTTCAGGAGACAAAGCACTGGGAATCAGCATCAATACCAGTTCCTCTCAATGTCAGTGCCTGAACATATCCAGTTGTAGAGTTTCACATGCTGATGTACTAGACTAGCCCAGTGTATGTGGTCACCACTCCACTTAGTGACTGGCCTTCCAGAACTATTCAACCCACTACTATCTCACAGCTTATGGAGCTTTCATTTAGTTCAGACTGTAGAAACCTATGTTTTTGGTGCTGTAGATCCCCAGTTTATTCCCAATGACAACTGTGGAGTCTTTGTGTGGTGTCTAGTCACAACTGGCTACAATGAGGTAACTTGCCTGCAAAGACCTTTGGCTATCCTGGCTCAGTAAACAGACAGGCTGCCTGTTGCAGATGTTTTTCAGGAGGCAATATCCTTGTTGGTAGAGATTTAGGCTCCATACATCAGTGGTAGTCAATTGGCAAACCGCGGACCAAAGCCGGACCGCCAGATGCTATTGAACGGACTGCAAAATATTTTTATTTACTTATTCTTATCTTTATTGTTATTGCAGTGTGAAAAATGTTTCTCTAGAGTCTGGACCTTGACAATACCTTGACCAAGAAATTTGGACCTTGACAAAAAATAATTGACTAGCCCTGCCGTACATCATGCTAAGTTTACTTGTTCCATTCAGTACTCAGACGGGGATCCACGATGCTGTACATTTCTCTCTACCAATGTTCTTATGTAATCACGGTCACACAAAACATTTTATATAGAGAGAGTAAATTGAAAGCTAAGAAAAATGGGAAGATTTTAAGTGGCATGGAGGGGAAGGGGAGAGAATGCTGGATAGACAGGGCAGCAAAAGTGACATAAGCAATCCCAGAGGACAGTGGAAAAAAGGATAGAAGAGCCAAACCTGAGGAATGAAGTTGGTAGATAGACAAGAGATCAGAGAGGGAGGGTGGAGCTAGACCATGGGGGGGGGGGGGTTTCAAAAATGGAAGGCCATTTTGAAATGTATTTGCTAGGGCTAGGAAGTCTGTTAAGAGGGTGGAGAATGGTCCCATGTGCAATACAACTACAACCATGCCAGGAGAGTCATTCGCAATATGACTCCATTTTATAGTGCAGTCAGGGATTAACTATGTTCCTAAGCCCTATGGACTTCTGAGCAGGCATCTGTACCATAGATGGGGTCCTATTCTTACAGAAAGTTCTAAATTCAGGTGTGTGACAAGAAAGCCAGAGATATGGGACTTCACACAGACTGAGAAGCAGTCAAATAGGCAAGAAGCAAAGGGATCACTGAGTGATTCCCTTTGAAAATTTTTATAGAGATCTCAAATCATGCAGACACTTTTGGGAAGGTATGGCACAACTCATATTTTCAAAGAGACAAAAAGTTAGTTGCTTTTTCCCTTCCTATATTTCAGCCCGAACACCTGGGAGAGCATGTCTGGACCTGACGGTTCCCACGTAAAGTAACTTTGGGATGTGAAATGTCTTTTTGCTCTTTGCAGAAGTGCTAGTTTACCTTCTAAATTATATGTACCTCATGGCTAGTTTTTGGATGAAGCAATATTTTGCCCATTTGTATTTGTAGACTGTGGGAAAAGAAAGCTCACTTGCCTGTCATGAAATTAAATTTTAGTGCTTTAATTTTTCACCATAACCTTGTTTTATTTGGGGATGTTTTCCCCATACTGGTCCGACATACACTGTAATTCCTGTTGTTCTGAGGGACCTGATAATGACACAATAGTGCCCAATATTGTTAGGGTATGTTTTGGTCTTGCAGAGTATAGCAAATTCAACTGTGTTTTAAACTTTGTTCCTGAACTGTGTAACAACCCTAAGTACAAGGCTGTAGCACCGTTTGGAAACAGTTAAAACATGATTCAGCCCCTTTACACTATAAGACCAAAACACATTTTAGTCAGGTCAAAGGCTACTGTGGTGAAATGTGATTCCCCACCACAGTAGTTATAAATTGTAAAAGCTACTTTTAAATTATATAATACACAGGTTAAGGAAAGAATGTCACACTGTAGACAGGATCACTAATGCTATCCAGTGAAGTCCGGACCCAAACCCAATTCCATTCCTAGGTCTGAAACCTGATCACACTGAAGTTAGTGGCAAAACCCCCATTGGTTTCTGGTGCATCAGGGTTTAGCCCATGGTCTTATGATAATATTGGTATTAATCAAATATATGTGACTCTTCATTTGAAAGTATTCAGAACAGCAATGCTGTCATCAGGTTAACAAAAGCAGGTTCACTTTTGCTTAACAGAGAGTGATACATTATCAGCCATCCACAGCCATTTATTTTAACAGGGGATTGTCTCAGCCTGCATCAGGTCCTATATAGAAACAAGGGAATTTGTCACCTCATTACAACTTTCCTGAGCAACATCTTTAAACAAATACACATGGAAAGTAGCCAATTATTTCCAGGGAAAGCAGACCCTTTTCAGGATACAACTTTCCATGCAAGAAGCCCAGTGCAAACCAAACAGGTTGTTTCCACAAGATTAGGATGCAAACACCATCTAAACACAATTCTGTCAGTTTGCAAAGGCCTTTAGGTGTTTAAAATAATAATAAAAAAAAAGACCCTCCACCCTTAGACTTTTCCTGCTTTGATCCAACATTAATGAACTGGCTAAGAAGTGACACCTAATTGACTCACTAGCATTAGCCTGTTAACATCTTCTTACTAAGGCTTTTCTCATATCCTCTAGCAGAGACATGAAAGCTGCAATGAGATTGTGCATTTTGTTGTTCAGTTCAGAGCACATATTAAAAGGAATTACAATAAAATTGGGCTGATTTTCAACAAGCCACTGTCCAGAAACAGATACATGCAAACAGATTTGATTGAATTGATAGATTAGATAGGATAGGTAATATTCATTCCTTCCCCCAACTGTATTCTACAATTAGCATTTTTGTAAACAAATTCAAGCCCAGCAAATGAGATACTGGGAAAAATTCTGGAAGTCCTTACTCATGCAAGACATATGGTGAAGTCAATGGGAATTAAACTCAGTGGGAGTTTTGCCTCAATAAGTATTGAATTAAAAACCCAAATACAGATCTCAGAATCAGGCTCCATAGGAATGAACCCACGACGAGTGAAATACTGTAGAAAACGGCAGCATAGCCATATTTATAATCAGCACTGGGGCAAAGCTTTTAAAAGGTAAAAAATTATTTTGGTGTCTCAATTTTTGGGTGCCCAAACTTGAGATACCCGAAAGGGGCAGGAGTTTCAGAGACAGGGTGGATCTATGCTTGGATCTGGATCTGAATCACAACAGATCCTACTGATGGCTCCACATAGTGACCCAATTAGTTCAATGGGGCTCCACACAAGCACAGGGGTCTGTTGAAGCAGAGCTATTTGCAGGATCTAGTCTCCAGTTTGATTTTGTAAAACCAAAGCCACCATGTTTTTGCCCAGCTCTAATCAGCGTATAGTGCAAACATTTATTTCCTTTCGGACCATGCCTTGATATTGGAATGGAACCATCTTGCAGAAAGGTTTGACACACACTGTTCAGATGCCACTGGAGCAAGTGCAAGGCCCATATGGGACCAGCTCAGCTCATAACCTTAAAAAGAAACTTTCTAAAGATTTTAGGTTCATTATTTCAATTGATTTTTAATCATAGGTTTCCAGTCTGTCATTCAATGGAGTTCTCACATTTGTGTTTCCTTTTTATTAGGTGAAAACTTAGGGCCTGGATTTGATTTTAGGGTTTATTTGAATAGTTATAGTTTAACATTTGTTTTCAGGAATTTTAGGCTTTCAAACATTATTTTAAAGGTATTGGTTGCTATTAACATTACACAGTAATAACACTGTGCACTACACATTTTAAAGGTATATTTGTCTCTGTGCCAAGACAGAATTGGAGAGGAAGCATGCGGTCTTGTGAGTGAAGCAGGGCACTGGGAACCAGGAGGTCTCAGATCTATACCCTGATCTGCTGTAGTCTTCCTCTGAGAACATAGGCAAGTCACTAAACCTGTCAGCCTCAGTTTTGCAACCTGCAAACTGTTGAAAATAATATGTTCCTGTCTCGTGGGGGGACGCTTAGTTTATATTTGTAAAGTGCTTTGAGATTCGTGGATGGAAGATTCTAGAGAAGTGTCCCAGAAAGTAATCCAGCCGTCTTCAGTGAATCCCCTAAACACGCCACAGTGCTGAGCTACTGGAAGGTTTGTGGTGTTTCCTGTGAGATGTATAGGACAGAGTCTGTGTGCACTGAAAATCTCCAGTAAGACACAGGGTAAGTCTACCATCTTCACTAAAATCAGTTTCAATTCCATTTGCATTTGTTGCTGTTACATAACCAGCGCGGGAGTCTAACTGTCATTTGGTATCTACTGTACAGAAGGATTTCTTCTCCAGTGACGCTATCTGGGAAAGGTTTCAGAGTGGTAGCTGTGTTAGTCTGTATCAGCAAAAAGAACGAGGAGGAGTACTTGTGGCACCTTAGAGACTAACCAATTTATTTAAGCATATGCATTATGCTTAAATAAATTGGCTAGTCTCTAAGGTGCCACAACTACTCCTCCTCGTTCTTTTATCTGGGAAAAAAATCTTGCCAATAATTCTGACCCCCCCCCCCAAAAAGGCTCCCAGGCTTGTAAATGACAATAGAAACATCCCATTTGTTAAGTGGGAGAGCTCTCAGTTTCCTGGAATTGCAATGCTTTTGGCATTAACCTCAGGAGAGTGGAAGGTTCATCACTGCTTATCCAGTCCCACATTGGGTGTTTCATAAGTACTATGGCTTTATTTCTCACTGGCCATCAGGACTGTTTCTGATTTCCAGTGCTGTGTGATACAAACAATTATATGAGAAAATAATATATTTTTAAAAAACTGGAACCCTTCGATAGATACAATGGTATAAGATAGACTATTGACTATTCCCTTCATTGTACGTCCGATGTCTGTAAAGTCAAAGTCCTGCTAGATGTAGCAGAAATCACTATTATACTCCTATATTAATTTCAATACAGATTTTTTTTAAACAGCTATGGTTGAGATGAAAATTATTTGAGTCACATATCTACCTAAGCTTTTCAAATGAATCAGCACAGTGTGGGGGCGGGGAAGGGAAGCAGAGGATAGCTAGCCGTTTGAAACGTGTATATTAAATGCGTACACCAAAGGGATAAATGATCTGCAGCCCTCCTCCAAAGTGCAGAACCTTAGGTCTAGATTCAGGTGTCAGTTACATCACTGAATGGAGTTCTCTCTGGATTGACACTAGTGTAACTGAGATCAGAATCTGGCCCTTGTTCTCCCAGTGCTGACCTGCCCTTACACACAATCTGTTCACATCACAATTAGAGAGATTTTACAGGGTGTTGTTAAAAAGGACTGAAGAACAGAAATAAAAAAAGTATGTAAATAAAAATCCTTGGCAATCAATACAAGACACATGTTGCCCCCGAGGGAATGAAAGCTTATGGAGACCGTGACATATGCCTGCCTGGTGCTTTCATTCTTGGAAGGCAGAGAAAACCCAAAATCAAGCTGACTGTGTAATACAGATCAGAAATGTCTTTATCCCCTTAACAACATAATATACAACTATTTTAGATTCCTATCGGGCCTTACATCCCAAAGGAACCCAAGGTGCTTCACAAACCGGACACACAGCATCAGCAACCTTCTGCATATGCTCACATTATACAAGTTAATGGTGACTGGGGAATTTTGGGCAAAGACATTGAAGCAAACCCCTACTAGTCTTACAAAAAGTGACAGGAGATCTCAAATTATCCACAGAGAGCAGACATAACCTCAGTTTGTCCTCTGCTCCTGTGGGATGGTTTAGAAAACCCAATGTTACCCACAAATGCTGATGACCCAGTGAGTAACACTTCTTCTTCCCAATTTTTAAAAAACCGTAGCCCATCTCTACCACAATTTTAGATCCACCCCACACACTAAGACATGAAATAGTCACCTACCAGGTAAAGCTTGCATTTTTCCATGTACTGTGAAGCCAGAGAGGTTGTGGAAGTCACCGTAGGCGAGAGATCCACCAGAACTCTTATCTCACGAAAACCAAAACAGTCCAGTTCAAAATCAGAAGGCTTGATTTCTCAAAGAAAGCGAGCGCCCTTCTGTTATCCAGTGTCAAGAGTGACTGGGGCTCCAAGCTAAGCTAGCCAAGGTGAGTTCCTGTTTTATGAAGGCTAATGAGCAGGGAGGAGCTTCTCTCCAGGGTTGTCCCCTTGCAGTCCTTTGATGTCCAAAGGGACAAAGAGAGGAAGGATTTGCAGCAATGGCTGGGCTGAGGGAAGAAAATCAAAGAGAATTAACATGGCTTTGACATACAGGAAACCCTACAGGGGAAATGCACCTTGATTTACTGCTAACACACTTTTAAACAAATAGAGACAAGACCAAAAATGCCAGCTGAAGATGTACCTACAAAAAATAACTTAATTGCAGACAACAGAGGAGATTTCCCTCTGGCAGTTTTGGGGTTTTGATAAAACTTTCATCTCCTGAACAGATTTCTACATTCCAAACACAGAGCTTGTGGTTTCTTTTAACTGTTGAAACTGTGGGATGTATCAATTCAGGAAGACAATGATTTTTAAAAAGCGGATTCTCCCAAGATGAATGAAATAACTGTCTGATGTAACCTTTCACTCTCATAACACATTACTGAAATATCCCTTTTCTTTTGTCAATAGAGGTCTTCAACCCCATTGGTATGAAATTCAAGGGAACCTCAGCAGAAATTCAAGGGACCACCAAAGCGTTACCTGACTATATCTGTCCCTTCAACAGGGCTCGGCAATATAATTTATTTTCTTTTTTATCACATCAATTTTCTATTGCATTGTACCCATTGATACAACAGAAATTTATTCTCTTTGGACAAATCCTGACACTCTTACTACACTCAAAAGTTTTGCTAGCACACCTCTGATGGTCAGGAGTGTGATTTTTTGTGTGTGCTGACATAGGTATGCTGGCAAACGTGTGGAGTCGGCTATACTAGCAAAGAAGTCCTTTTGCCTGTATAGTGCTTGGTTTGCTTGATGAACTGGTATAAGTTTACCAGCAAAAGGAATATTTTGCTGGTATTAACTGCATCTCTATGTGGGTAAGGTAATCTCTTTCCTGAACCCAACTTCTGTTGGTGAGAGAGACAAGCTTTGTGTAAGCTCGACAGCTTGTCTCTCTCTCACCAACAGAAGTTGGTCCAATAAAAGATATTACCTCACCCACCTTGTCTCGCTAATATCCTGGGATCAACATGACTACAACAATTCTACACCAGGTTAACCTTTTAAGTGTAGACTATACAAGGCCTAGTGTTTGTAGTCATTCAGTCACTGAATTCAAGGCTGAGTAGAAACTAATGACTTCAAGTTTGGCCCTTAATGAGTTTATCCTGAGAGTGTGACCAATAACATTTGTGCTTACAAGTGCTAAGAGATGGCTAATCAATTCTCATGCTTCAGGACATGAACTGACCACCACCTGGCCAAGAAAGGGATTTCTTTGCATCTATGTACAGCATTTCATTACTGGCTGTGTATATTAGGGGCCAACGCTGGTGGCTCAAATACTGATCACTGCCAAGGCCAGATATTGGTCTTGATGGATCAGAGTCTGATTCCATTGACAAACTCTTGTGTTCCAATCTTTTGTTAATTTCAAATGGCATGATTAGATAGCTGATTTAGGGTCTGATCCTCCTCCCTCTGAAATAGACAGAAGTTTTGTCACTGTCTTTAATGGCAGCAGGACCAGACCTTTAGTTTGGCGCATGAAATACATATTTTTAACATGCCTATTCCTTTATAGGACTTTTGTTTAAAGTGGATGTTAGCATAGTTAATATTAATTCAGAAATAAATTAAATAGTGATAAAAGACATCTTCAGCAATAGTAGTTAGGAGCCTGAGATTACTTATCTTTGAACCACCCCGTATGCCACTCCCCTCCTCTCAGTTTTACACTCCCCTCCTCTCAGTCACACACTACGACTAGATCTCAGGATGTAACCAGCGCCTGCTCTGGTTTTAATAAAAGGGATTTTCTCTTCTCCTTTATTGCAACTCATTGTCGTCTGCAGTAACTTGGCTGTGGTAGGTAGGTCCCGCTACCCAAACACAGCACTAATGATATGAATGGATCCAAATCTTGAACATTCTGAAGGGAATGAAAATCCAAATTCTTATTACCACACGGCCAAATCTTGAGACCCTTACACTCAGACAAAATTCCCCAGTGACCTCAGTGGGAGCTACCCTGAGTAAACACTTAATCAAGGCCTCAGGATTTGGCCCAGAAAGGGTTCGAATAGAAACATTTGTAGACCACTTCTGTAATCACTACCCCATTGGCCAAGATCAGCATATTGTGCTTTGCATTGCTGAAAACTGGACCACACTGGTCATGGTGTCTTTCTGTTGCTGTGGGTTGAGACTGAAAATGTTGCTCCTTGCCTCACTCTACCTAAGGGCTGGAAATAAAAATATATAACCCCACCCTAGACCCCAGTTCCTGCACTGGTAGGCCCAGGAGCCTTCCTCTTGCTCCTGCTAAACACGGGCCCTTTGACACACTGGAGCTGAGGTGTCCAAGAGTGTGCTAGGCTGACAGGGGATTTCCATTCTTGGGGGAGTATGGGCCATTTCTAGTAGCACATTGCACTCTGGGGCATCCCAGTCCTGAAGGGGTGATGTGCCAACGCTTAGCGCAGTGGAATCAGGAAGAATGTTTTGTGAGTAGTTGTAGAGTGACAGGTTACTGACGCCTGGGAAGACTCCACCCGAGGAGGATTTTTGTGGGAAGGGTTAGTCTACTGGTCAGGTCCCTTGAAGAGCCAGGAGCAATCTACCTGACTGCCCCTTCAGATGGGAGGTGGGGCGGAGGGAGGAATGTCAAACAAAAGACCACAGTTTCTTCCCCTGCAGAGACAGCTAGGGACATCTCTAGAATTGGGGAGCTCAGCCCTTGAAAGGGAGGTTACTGTTTGGAAGTGGAAAGACGATCCTATGGGGAAGGAGAATCAGCTCTCTGTTTTGGGGAGAGGAAGGATGACCTTGGGGTAAAGGCAATGGACTGGGGGGGCACAAGATCTGGAGCCTATTCCTAGAGTGAGGCTTGGTCTACACTACCAACTTATATCGGTATAACTGAGTGACGTAGTTATAGTGACCTAATAAAACCCCCGCCCCACATACCCCATATGTAGATATAGCTACTGCCTCTCGGGGAGATGGAGTACCTACACCGACAGGCGAGGATCTCCCGCCCCAGCTCTAGCTGTGGCGCTGCAGCGCTGTAGGTGTAGACAAGCCCTGAGAGGCACAGATGTTGCAAAGCAGTATCACTCTCCCTGTTCAGGATAAGGGACTAAACTTGTCTTTCCTTCAAGTCACACTTGCATTGGCTCTGATTTCCTAGATGAGCGGTGGTCCCCTTGTTCTCATCCTGTCAAAGGGAAGAGGTCATATTAGCTCCTGAAATCTAGGAAAAGGTGAGGAGAGCATGGAAAATAAACCAAACAGACTGGTAATGTCAAGAGTGGGCCCCTCACCCTGCATAGGTTGGACTGGGGATCCTGAGGCTCTGGGTAGAAGCAGCTCTGGGACAAGGAACAACAGAGACTCCTCAATTCTATGTTAAAAAGAACATGAAAAAGATCTGAAGACAAATTGTTCCAGGGTCAGACCTTCTCCTTCAGTTCTCCCAGCCCCAGTAGCAAGCAGAACAGTATTGAAAATGACTCTTGTTGCTCTCCCCACTGATAAGGTGGAAGCAGCCACTGAATCCTCCTTCTCAGCCCTGATTTTCTAGTGACACTTTTTCTGCCATAGAAAGGCATATGGGGGCCGTAACCAGAGGATATATCTACACTGCAATAAAGACCCACAGGCATGGCTGCAGCTGGCCTGGGTCAGCTGACTTGGGCTCAAAGGGCTAGGGCTGCGGGGTTGTACAATTGCAGTGTAGACTGCCCGAGCCTGGGCCCTGATCATCCGGGAAGGGGGAGGGTCGCAGAGCCCAAACTCCAGCACAAGCCCAAACATCTACTGCAATTTTTAGCTCCACAGCCCAAGCCCCATGAGTCCAAGTCACCGACTGGGCTCTGAGATTCAGTGCTGCGGGTTTTCTATCGCAGTGTAGACTTCCCAGAGAGCCTGAGATCTGCGCTCATTGCAGAAGATGGGAGAAGAAAGAGAAAAGAGGGTCACATTCAAACTAGTGGTGAGCTGGATTAACATCCACCTCAGTCAACAACTGCACAGCAATAGCACCACCAGGGATTTCACACAAGTGCCCCACCAGACTGTCCAATGTATCAGGACTTAGTGCAATGCCTTTTATTGGTGTACGCACTATCTCCCTCATCCACTTCATCTGGACGTTCACCATCGGTATTTCTGGCAACACATATTTTCTGTAAACACCCATTCCTTTCATCTCCTCCCAACTGATTGATGGGGAGGTGGAGTCATTAATTACCAATTACTAGTTAACAGCTAGCGCGCTCTCAGCCATTCTAGCAGATAGAGAGGTTTTAAAAAGGGAAGAAAAGTGAATTTGTTATAATTGCTAGAAAGTGTGGCTAATAGCAGCAAAACCCATGAAATTCACCACCGCCAAGGTGGAATTTAACACATTACCCTCTGTCTGTCTGTCCCCAGCGTGCCTCAGGCTATTCACTGAGAAATCAGATGTGAAGGGCTGGCCTCTAACAATTCATGGGCAAATTGGATGGGTGGGAGGGATGAGGGGGAAGGAGAGGGAGGCTGGGAGTGGGGCAGTGAAAGGTGAAAGTCAGTGATGTGTACAGCTCTGCGCCCAGCACCTTTACAGCAGTGGGTAAAGATCATATTGTACCTGACTCTAAACAGGAACTGCCCCCAGCATCCGGAAGGGAATGAGGAGGGGAAGGCATATGGCATACACCAGTGGATATGGGATGAAGGGAGAAGGGGAGGAGTAAACACAGCATTTATTTTTGTCTCTCCAATGAGCTGATCTCAGTGCTTTTAACAAAACAACCTTTTTCTGGCCAATTTCCTAGCATGTGAAGAGTTTTCAACCCTCTCTCCACCTTTTAGCAGCTAACACATAGCAGGACTTTGTGCTGAATTGGCCCACATGCATACCATATCACATTCCCGGCTTCTTTTGAACCACTCGCATGTGGTATTGGCACAATAAAGACCAGTAGGTCAGCAACCCTGTGGCCTCAGTTGTTGGGGTTGGATCCTATAAGATTCTGAATGGTCTGCACCCGCATTGCTCAGCTGCAGTTCCTAGAACGCAAACCCCGACCCAACATCTTCTGTTCAGTAGGCTTGCCAGGTTCCAAGTTACTATCAGGAGCGTTGAGATGCAATAGACATCCAGATGAGGGGTAATGATCCTTTTGGGTAGAGGTGGCCTTGAAAGTCACATGTGTTAAACCTTATCACTGCCATCTCCAGTTTTGCTTGGTAGCCAAAGGTTCATTAGATATAGGCCCCCGTGTACGCCACAATTTCATGGCTGTGGAATTGGCTGCAGAATTATGTGCCAGAACATGAGCCTTCATTTTTTGTTTTTAAAAAAGACTGTTTCTAGCCCTCATGGTTGTTAAGAGAATGTTACAAACATGAACAGGGTGTAACTGAAGCAGCGTGGTCTTCCTGAGTCTGCAAGCAGCCTGAAACAATGGCTCAGAGAAGTATGAACTGCAGTATATTCAGCTCAGTGGGGTGTTATCTCTGAAACCTAAAAATAGCAATGTTGGCATTTTAACTATTAATCATTTTAGCAGGGACTAATGTGCTTATCCCAAACTGCCTCCTATGCTTCTCCAAACGCCAGAAGACCCAGCTGCCCACACCTCCCTTGGCCACCTTTGATACCAGTATTAGTGCTGCATGCATGTATCTCTGGAAGAATGAAAATGTGGGGAAGACCTACAATTAATGGAATTTAATACAAAATAAACAGCAGGTGCTACTATCCTGACTATTCATTAATATCCTGCATTAAAAAATTTCTAATAAATCAGACACGTATCTTCCAGATTGCTATGGAATCCAGAGACACTGACATAAAATTTAGGTCCAGGGCCCTGATTACGCGCACACAGACCCACCGGCGAGGAGCAGCATGCCCGCAAAGTCAGCGCATACTGAATCCATTTGCCCCTAGAGGAGGTGTCAGGATTACTCCCCTTTAGGTCTGGAGCAGCACACAATGGCACTAATGACCACTCCAGTATCTAAGCTAACTAACTAGCAGTGTCCTGGCTAGACACTGACTTCAAACATCTCAGAAGGGACAGAAAGAAAAGAAAATGCAAAAGTTGCTCTCTAAGCAGAGCAGACACTTCTGCAAGAAGTATATTTAGTGGCCTGAGCAGAGAACTGGGAGTGAGGACAGAGAGATTCTATTCCTGATATTCCCACTGACTCAATCTCATCTTGGGCAAGTTACTTAGGCTCTCTCTAGGGCTCGGTTTCCTCAATCATGGGGATGTGAAGCTAAAATCAACTGATGTCAGTAAAGTGTTTTGAGATCCCCACATGAAGTGCTAGAAAAGTGCAAAGTATTGCTATTATTCAGAAAGACTCCCCAGTGAGCAGAACTTTCCACATGTTGGTTCAAAAAAATCCAATTTCCTCTCATGCTGTAGCATAAGGAAGGGCTTCTTGACAGCTGCTTACTACCGCTCAGGTGCTGCAACCTTTTCTTTTGATGGTGAGTATTTGCACTTTTTTAAGTGGACAATTTTGGTTGCTATTTCCCGGGAAATCAGCTGTCATGCAGACCCATGTGAGAGGCTCAGCAGCAGGCAGAGGTCTGCGGGGCCGCTAAGCCACAAATTGCATTGATCCCCAAACCATCTGAGTGTTCACAAAAAGCAAAATCACTTTTGGGAAAACAAAAGTAGCTGAAAGAGTTCAACACAAACAGGTTGGTTGGAGATGGCCTGTTGGTAACAGCTCCATGAACCGTGAGGCAGTGTGCTGTGTCCTGGTCACCTGCCTGTTCCCACCCCAGAGGAGGCTGCATTTAAAAGGTGCGGTGTTTAGTTTGTGGTGGACTTTGAGACCGTGGGGTGAAAAGGGCTCATGCAAATGTAGTATAATATATTACAGTATTAACTTAGGCTTTGCTTCTTCACAGGTTTGTGGATTGAGCTATCTGGCCAAAGAGTTATGCTTGTGAATTGGAGAAATGAAGGTGCTCTTCCCTTCCTTCCCATACTCATCTCCCCCCTCCCATCCCCTCTATAATATGCACTCACTTCTTCCAACTGGCTAGTTAGCATTGAGACAAGAAGGGAAACACTTAACGGCCACTTAACAGGGCAGGCTGAGTTTGGGCTCAAAGGCTACAGTCCAGAGTCAAATGCAAAATGTTGGGGCCTTAGGCTCTTTCAAGTTTTCACAGACTCCTGATGTTAGCTGCACTGTTTTCCTGTCAGCCCATTGTGTTTCCCAGACACTGCTCAGCACTCCGTCCCATTCAAATCCACAAACACACCTTTTTGAAAGGACTTTACAGATTGGATGGGACATGACAGCACAAACAGCTTCACAACACAGCACCCAAGAGGAGAATAACCACAAAGCACAACACAGCACAGTGCTGCTTTTCTTGCACACTGCATGGGAAAGTGCCAGCATATTAGTGCACCTGGGCATTGTATAAGGAAAAGCCAACAACAAAGGAAGAATCCAATCATCTCCAAACCCAGTACACATTCATTTCATAGGGAGAAGGCAGCAACCAACAGCTGTAGGTTAAAATACATACAAGGAAAAGAGAAGCAACATGGAGAGTATAAACATTGAATATTGGGGGTTGAACTAAACCAGGACCCAGATCAAAATAAGCCCTGTGTATGGTTTTGCTGAATAAAAACCCAAACTGACATGGTTTTGCAAAACAAAAGTTGTTTTTAGGTTTTCACCATCTATTATAGAAAAAAAGAAGGGCCAAACCCAGAACGATGTATCCTAATCTTTTGGATTTTTGGGGGTTCAGATAAAGTAGGATCCTGATTTTCTTTTTGTAAACAAACACACGGTATTAGATCTATCTTACAAACAACTACAGAATAAGTCAGAACATGAACATTTAATCAGCTTGCAAATTCATTAGTTAGCTTCTGACATCAGCGGTGTACGTCCACGTTATACAATTGTTTCTGTATAAGACTCTACTATATCCCACCAAGGTTACACTGTCTTAACATTAAATTAATAAACAACAAAATACAGGAGTCGATGGGACAACTCACATGCATAGCACTAATGCATATGTTTAAGATTTTGCAGGCATGGAGCGAAAGTTTGCTGGAAGGACTGGGAAGTGCTGTCTACAACATGATTTTATGGCTTTACCCCACAATAGCATCATTTTTGGATAAAGATAATCAAGATACCTCGGAAGATTATTAATAAAGCGTTTCAAACAGCAAATAGAATACTTGGGATAGATAACTGAAATACACGATTAAAATGTAAAAAATAAAACTGATTAGAAAGTTATGTCTAGCTGGGAAATACTTCATGGAAATTGGTCTTGCCACCCTCTAACACAAACTGGTTATATTATGCTATGCTATGCATCTGAAGAAGTGGGCTGTAGCCCACGAAAGCTTATGCTGAAATAAATTTGTTAGTCTCTAAGGTGCCACAAGTACTCCTGTTCTTTTTGCGGATACAGACTAACACGGCTGCCACTTTGAAACCTGGTTATATTACGTGTGGCATATGCAAGAAATGGAAGAACTCACACATAATTTTCCCAAATACAAAAAAGAAATTCATGTCCATTTGGTCTTCCCTCCTTGATTACTTTAATGATTCTACTCACCACCCAAAAAGCAATGAATAACTGACATTTGTAGGGTGTTGGTGTTATTTCTTAATCTCCAATAATGTATTGTCTCACAGCAAAAGGGAATAATACGAGAATGAAGTCATACATAATGGATTTCGATAGCGGGTACCTGCGATATTATCTCTGTCACGCAGGCTAGTTCTATACTTAAAACGCTACCATGCTGCACTTGCACGGCTGTAGCCTTTAGTGCAAACACTCACTACAGCGACAAGAGGGCTTCTCCCATCGCTGAAGTTAATCCAGCTCCCCAAGAGGCTCTAGCTAGTTTGACAGAAGAATTTTTCCATCAACCTAGCACTGTCTACACTGAAAGCAGGTAGATTTTCCACACCACTGAGAGACATAGCTATGCCAATGTAAATTTTCAGTGTAGACAAGCCCTCAGGAATTAAATAAAAGTTACTGCTGTTCTAAGTTTATCATCATGATGGAATTCTTTTACCAACATATTTTATTATTTAAAAAAAAGAGGATTCCATTTTTTCTCTGTGTATTTATATATGTCATTTATATTTTCTCAGTTAAAAAAAGAACAAGACCTGACTAAATCTACCACGCTATACAGCCATTGGATACATACACTGTATAAGACAGGGAGCCAGAATTAGATACCCAGAGCGAATACAGGCATTCCACAGGAGGAAGGAATTGAACCCAGAGACACGGAGGATGTATATAGAATCCACAGAAGAATCCGACCTGAGGGACTGAGTTACAGGACATACACCTGTATCTCTCAGAAGAAGAAACTGAATGCAGCAGTAGACTCACAAGGTGCATCCTAGATGACTGGTTCTGAAACTAGGAACAAAAGTTAGGATGGGATACATATATTCTATAGGGAAGCTGAAGCCAGTAAAAAAGAGACATAAGATATATTCATTGTAGGAAAGAAGCACACTTCAATCAATCAGAGTGGTCTCACATATATACTGAAAAAAAAACCACCATTCAGTTGACTGGAGAGATTCCCATATTTTCTCTCACACCAGTTGATCAGCCCCTGATAGCAAAAATGGTATCTGTGTCAGCAACAGAAATTGAGACAGGAATTCCTGTGTATTACCAGGAATGGAAAGCAGAGCCTGTCAGATTTCATGGATTCCTGAGGTCTGGCTGTGGGATCATACAGCCCATGAATTCCCATGCATTTGCATAGCCTTACATGACTGCTGCTCTGTCTCTTTCATGAAGCAATTTGTTTGTATAGGTTCCTCCCCCCCATCTCTAGTTAGTAAGTTCCTCATCCTTGTGATCACAGGCCTGGGTGCAAACTCCAGGCAGGAATCGCAGACCTAAGGCTCCCTCCCCCCACTCCAGTATATTGTGAAATGTTTATGACCAGGGTCTTATGGCTCTGGAGGTGCTGAATAGCCTGTTTTCTCCAAGTCTCAACTCCTGATGGGCAGCTAGAGACCAACTTTTAGCCGGTTTGGTCCCTAGTTGTGCATTTTATTACCCAGTTTGTCTCTTCAGCTCACATTTGTAAACTCCCGAGTAAATTTCTCCCTGGTTAACACTCTGGAGCTCAAAGAACTTTTCATGTTTTTATTACATCCTTAGTGATTAAAGGGAAATTTAAACCTCAAAATGTCCCCTGCCGTGATTATAAAAGCACAGCATCATTTTGGGTAGACATGTTTTTAAACAATAAATTAAAAATTAGCCCTCCTAAAGTGGACAAATGTTTTTAAGTTAAGTGCAGGATGTTATTAACAATAAATAAGTTGCAATTCCTTCATAGATCACTGGGTGGCATGTGAGTGAGTTGTATGGGCCATTAAAAGAGGTAAATTCTAATTGGACTGAGGGCAGAAGGGGTGTGAAATGGATGTATTACACTAAAAATATTAGACTTTATCCAACTTGTGTGCTTCTGCTAAGAATATACCGAGTTCCAATCTGTCATCTACGTAAGGAATCACTAGCACAAAAGTGTAGACCACCCATGTGTCCGTGATGAGAAAATGTATTTAACTGACCAGCACTTTAAAGGCTGCAATATCTTCTGCAATAGGAACATAGATTTAAAATACAAAACAAATGTCTGTAAAGTACAATCAATGGAAACACTCAAATTCTGTGCTAAAATTCCAAATAGGAAGGTAGGAAAGGATTGAAATTGGAACTGGGTGTGGTGAGTTCCTGCTAGGAATGGCTTGTGTTCAGCTGTATAACTATCTAATAACAAAGGGCAGTAGTTTGTTATGGTAAATTATATGAAAAATCATAGCCTGGGCATAGTAAGAGCCAGCAGAAGTGAGCCCAGGGCAAGCTTTGGGTTTGCAAAGAGAAACTGCTTGCTTTACCCACCCATACCACTAAGCTTTGTGTAGAGAGCTGCTCCGTGCCTCAGTCTCAGTGGAGAGACCAGTATCCTTGCAGTGTGGCTACAGACTCACCAGTGAGCGGGTCACAGCCTGTCTCCTCAGCACTTGCTTGCTTGACCATTTCAGTACCTTGAACATTTTCCCCTCTAGAATGAAGGAGAAAAACAAATTCACCATCACACAGCATACAAAAATCGATCCAGATGCACATTTCCAGGTATTCAGACAAATACATTGTACCTGCACCGCTTTAAACACACATACTCACCCCCCACACTGCAGCTCCCCCACTACATAAGGATGCCATTTATACTTCTGGACACACATTTAGACATACTAGCAACAAGCATGGGCACATACATAGACACTACAACATGATAATTACTAAACACACAGACATCTTTCTTTTATTACACAGACATACAGTGTACACACCCTCAAATACCAGAATCCTTATATTCAGACATATATATCAACAAGTAGCATTCTTCTATTCATACATCTGGGCTCTCATTCTCTCCCTCAGAGGTGCACATATGATCAATCTGCATGGATAAACTCTACGTCTATGATTCTAGAGCTTATTCCAGGGTATTTCTCTAGTGCACATGCACAGCTAAAGACAGTGAAGGGGCTAGCAGGTTAAAGTTGCCCTTTCAAATTACTTCTCGTTTATTCTCCATCCACACTTGAGGCCCTGACTATAATGAAGCTGAAACTGAGTTTAAAAAAACATGTTCAAATAGGGTGACCAGATGTCCCTATTTTATTTGGGGCTTTTTTTTTATATAGGCGCCTGTTACCCCCCACCCCCGTCCCAATTTTTCACACTTGCTGTCTGATCACCCTATGTTCAAACTTGGTTGTTTGTTATTTATTTAGTGTGTGTGGTTGGTAAGCATGATGCTTTCTTTACATTCGTGTCCATGCCCAGAAGAGTTAACAATCTCTAGACAGATGAATAACAGAGATGGCAACAGCAGAGGCATAGGGAGGAAGAGAAGAACAACAAAAACCAGGAGAAAGAGAAGCGCTTGTGGGACAGCATTGTTGGATCGTTATGACATCAGAACTGGTCTTTAGCATGCTTTGTCTGGCTGGTGTGGATGGTTACAACCATATTTATAATTATGCTCAAGCTTGGGTCTTTACAGGTTTTAATCATGGTTCTAATAATTTAAGCGCTATCCACGCAGACTGGTAAAACCATGCCAGGACTGGGTTTAAGGAGAACTCTTTAAACATGTTTCCCATATTCTCTTTAAAGACCAATTTAGATAAGGCCTTTGTGGGTTTAGTCTCTGTGCCTCTTAATAAGGTGTACCCCATCTGGATTTAGAATAACCAAGAGATGAACCAAAGCAGTCTCAGAAAAGGGAATGTTATAGCAAAGTTGAGAGTACACTAGCCTTTTGGGAGGAATCTCTACTATTTTGCTACTACTGTGCACTACTACTACCCTAGTGGTAGCAATGGCAGGAGCATTAGCATAGAAAAGGCACCTTTTATTTTTTTTATCGTGGTGTCCTCTAAACCTGCTTTAAGCTGGTCTGACTGACTGACATGGTATTTAAAATGCTGGTGGCTAGTGTGTTCTGTCTACACCACTTCTACCACCATCTCTGCCACTAATGGAGCTGCAGCTGTGGGAGTGAAATGGTGGGATATTTCCCACATATGTGTAATACAGACAAGGCCTAGGTGGTTTGGCATAACAGGAACTGTTGGTGGAGGCTTCTTACCGGTTCTTCTTAGAGCTGAGGCCATTCTCTCGGAACCCCTTTGCAAATGGATTGTTATCAATCTTCAGCTGGGTAACCTGTGATGGGGAGATAACAGAGGGAGAGAAGGAAATGGAAAAGAGAGAGAGATGGGAAGATGGAGACAAAGGGAAAGGAAGAGAGGAAGAAAAATGCAGAGAAAAGGAAATAGAGGGAGAGGAAGAGAGAAAAGACAGAGGAAAGGATGAGAGAGGAAGGAGGGGTAATGAGAGAAAGAGAGAAGTGGAGAGGAACAGAAAATGGGGGAAGAATGAGTGAGGGGAGAGAGTGAAAAAGGGCATGTTAGTTATGTGGATATTCCCCAGTCTATTGGTGAAATGGCTTCAGAGTCAGACCATTCAAAAATGGAGATTATTTAAGAAGCAAGTGGGACAGGAAACCAGAAAGAGGAAAATAACAGAAACCTGGAAGATGAAGCTGGTGAAATCAGGGCACAATGCTGTCTTCAAAGGAAATAGCCCACATGATCCTATTTCCCAAGCCCTTCACTTAAAACCAACAGGCTGGTTTCTGAGAGAATGAAAATTTTCCATATGACCATTAGAAACTTCACGGGTTTTCTTATTTTTGCTACTACAGGTTAAGCAGGAAAAAGCAGTCGTTCTTGTTATGGCACAATTATGTTCATGTCACATGCAAAGTTTGTGAAATATATTGTATTCTTTTTATATTTAGAGTTAATTTGGTGGTCTTGATTAAAGTGAAGACTAGAGAGTACATGCTAGAGTCAGCTATGGTGCAGACATGAGCTGTACAAGCCAATACACCCAGTCCTGATGATGTTATTGCACCCTTGGCTATTCCTGTACTGGGTCTCCCTTCAGACAAAACCATGGACAATTATGGAGTATTTTTTGTGATGTGGGCAAATGTCATTAGCTACATTACCAAATTCACACTTAAATTTGTGCTCAGAGCTAGGATTTGAACCGAGGTCTCCAGGGTGTTAACTAATAAACTACCTTTGTGTATTTTTAATAGCTTTAGCACCAGAGTACCTGAATCTTTCCCCATCATACCCTTAATTTCCACCTCTTAGTGCTAATGATCATTTTGCTTGAAGGAAGCTTTATTTACCCCTGAATTGCCCCAGGTTCACAGAAAGTCACAGAGAAGATGGAAGGAGTCAGAGATAAGCTACCTTGGAATTCTGATAGGCTGTCACAGCCATAAAAGTTGTTTCTGGGAACACAAAGGTGGCCACAGCATTCCAGGGCAGGGTGAGTGTATGTGCGCTGGTCAGCACCACATGGAATCGTGGTTGGTATTTGTGCATTGAATGCAATATAATCTAAAGCCAAAGAGAGAACAAGCATTTCAGGAGGATTTGATAACAATGTTGAACTCTGTATGGCATCACTATGATGAACTCAATGTTCCTGGAAGAGTCACCTGGAAAGGCTTCAGAGGCAGTAGCATGTTGCACACCACCACTTTTAAATAACTGCTTATGTGCAAGTGGAATACAGCTCACATTAGATCTAAAGGGAGTGGACATGAATGCCACACCACATGTAACCCTGAAGATTTGACTTAAATAAACAAAAGTCTAGAATAAATTTGAAATGTAGCTCTATCCATGGGCCTGATCTTACACTTGTTGGTTCTTTCCAACCTCTCTCTCCCCCCCGCCCCCAATCTCTTTGAATTGGGACCTCCTACTCCAGACCCACTTGCCCTTCCCACTCACCATAGGTAATTGGGGGTGGAACTTGTCTACTTGTGCTGGTCCATCTCTCTGGAACTTCTCGCAGAGCTGTACACTGAAGTGAAAACCTTCCTTTTCACTTTAGTGTAAAACTGTCTCCACACATCTGTGGAACAGATGGGAATATGAAAAATGCTACTGTATAGAAAGATCGTTCATATGGTATGGGACTGCACTGGGGGAAGAGGGTCTACAACAAATGAGATGTTTTTAGTCCAACAAGGGAAACAGTAAAGGCCAGTGCACTGCAAGGTGCATATTGGAAAGTAATACATGGCAGAACAGGGAGGTAGCAAAGCCTCCCTCTATGGCTTGGGTGTGAACACACCTCTAGGAACAGGTCCAGGTCCAATTCTGAGCACCTCACTACCAGAAATTTATTGCCAAACTAGAGAGAGGCTGGAAGGACCATTTTATTAGGAGAGATTAAAGTAGTTAATAGCTTGATTAAGTGATGGCTATGGGGTGAGATAAGAAAGGGACGTAACAGTGTACATATAAACACCAAAGAGGGAGAGGAATAATTTAGGGTGTTACAAGGGGTGTAACTAACAGCATAAATAGGGATGAAAATGAGACAGGGAAAATTTAAGATGAACATCAGGAAAAACGTCCTGGCTGTGAGGTGTTAGGGTGTGCAACACACTCCCAAAAGAAGGGGCGGAAGCCTCATTGCGTGGAACTTTTAAAAGTAGCCTGAACAACACAGCAGTAGTAGGACCGTAGGGAACAAACCTGCCCTGGCAGGGAGATGGGTGAGCTGCTCTAATAGGCCCTTCCATCACGTATAATTCTGATTAATATTAATATCAGTTCTGGGTACATGAAAGAATGAATATTATTCTCCTTGTTGTGTATGAACAGCATGTCATGGCATTAGACAACTTCACAGTGCAGTGCTCCCTATAAACCAATGGTTTGTAGCACCACACATTTATTCTACGTACAAGTGAAATGGTCAGGCCTCTTCTTACATGTTCACACTGCTCCAGAGTATTGTTGGTGATCTTGAGTCTCTGGAAGGAGACTGGTTCTTTCATCCAGTGATTGCCAGGAGCTGGAGAATCTGGATGGAGGTAGAAGCGACTGGGGAAATGGGGATCAGGTTTTCCAACTGCCTCCCAGTGGCCACAGTGCCATTTATACCGAGCGTTGTCCAAAGGTACAATGTCCACCAGCATCAGGTAGAGAGAGTGAGGGTTCAGGCCGGAAACAATCACTTTGCAAGGTGGGAACATACATCTGCACGGACGGCGAAGAAAGAGAGCAGAAAAAGAGATTTCACTGTATGCTTGTCATAATCTGACGCCCCAACTCTTGTTCAGGGCCTTCACTTGAAGGAAGTGCACTTCCTTGGGAGCTCAAGTCACTGACTTTCTTGCACTGATAAATACAGCGGGCCAAATTCTGCCTTCATTTACACTTATGCAACCCCCGTGAAGCTGTTTACTGTCTCTATTGAGGGCCAGTGGGACTGCACAGGGATAACAGAGGGCAGAATTTGTCCTGCTGTGTGCAATGAAAATCGAAAACCCAGATCAGATAATATACTGCAACAGTCCATATCAGGATCTGGAGAGCTCGCATAGGGCATATGGCTGTAAAACTATTTAAAAGGGGGAGTACTTGCCACTCCTTTGACAAAACACAGTGAGGTTGTTACCAAAGGCCCAGCATAATATCCAGGCTTCTGCAGTGCATCCCAGCTACTGTCTTGGTCACTGTCCCTGATGGCGAGGGTATTACTGCTCTTACTGGATCACACAGCATGGAGCTTTCCCTTTAGTTCACCTTGTAGAGCTGTTGCCCAGGAATCGTCTGACCCTCAAGCGAATGGCTTGGTCAGGGTGGTGTGCACCTTGCACACTGAGAGCACATTTTATAGTGTTATGCTGGACATGCGAACTCATCACATTCATCTGGTGAGCCTGGTCACTAGTAAGCAGACACAGCACTTGGCTGGCTTGACCCAGAGAACAGGTGAGAGACAGAAAGGTAAAATAGTAGCTTCAGCATTGCACAGCAGATGGAACCGAAGGTGGGGTGTACCTAGGGTGGGTGGGTGAGTGTTGAAAGTAACATGCCACAGGCATTCTTGGCGATACAGGTTTGCTCTCACCTGCCAGATTTGGTGATGATCATTTCAGTGCCAAGTGTGTAGAACTCCTCCCACAGTGCTTTGTTCTCCAGAGAGAGCTGGACCCTGCCACAGGAACCATTTATGGATGGAGGGAAGCAGCCCTCATTATGGAAGGAAGTGAGTTGCGAGCTCTGAAGGGGTATCATCTGGAATTGAGGGAACAAGCCTCGGCATCTGCTGCATGGGGGGACAGGGTCACAGTCTCGCAAGAGAAGGGGAGAAAAGCAAAAACATTAATGTACATTCTAGAGAGTGGCCCACACAGCTGGAACAAAAGCAATCCAGCTGCAAATGGAACATGTCAGAGGAAGGGGAGAATCCCTGCCAGGAGAGCTGTGCACTTTACAGCTATGCCGGGGAGAACATCCTTCAGGCAGGATCACCTCCACATCTATGCTTGGCTGCAAGCACAGAGGGTCTCTTTGCAAGCACCGAGAAGCTTAGAACACCAACCCCAAATACTTTATTCCCATGCGATCTGGTGAGCGGCACTGGCCACCAGAGTGACCGACACAGCGAGTTCAGGCTATCCCCTGATGGGAATGCGGCAAGCCATGATTCCTTCACATTGAGGGCAAATGAGCTTGCCCACTGAGTCCTTGACACAACTGCTGAGAAGCAACTAGTCACAATGCTAGGGAAGACATGGCAGCGCCACGTTAAGCGGGCCATACACATCAACCAGCCCCGTGCTGAGCAAGGCCGCATTCCCCACCAACCATCGTCTGCCCTACTTCCATTGACAGAGGTTTTGTCTCTCTCCTGGGTTCATTCACTCACAACTATCTTTTCGGTGCTTCAAAGCAGCCCAGGATTTTAAACACAGCCCCAACGATACCCTGAGAATTCTGGGGACAGAGGGAAGGTAACATGGGAAAAATGAATGAAACAGAGAAATACATGCTCATTATTCAACCCCCCAAACAATCCCATTCAACCTGCTCTAGGGCCAGCATTTCTGTCTGAGAATCCTCGCTACAAAGGGCATCCTAGTGCCAGGCTGAGTGGACAGAACCAGGAAGGTCACCCCAAAGTCTGCAGCGGGCCTTTTGCTTGGTCTGTAGGAGAGGAACATGACAAATCTACTCACACAGCCTGGGGTGACAAAATCATGAGCCTATTCAAGCAAAGACTTGCAAAACTATTTTAGAGGAGGCAGAATGCTCACAGGTTAGGATCCAGGATTGCCCGAACCATCTCTTACCTGGCATCAGCATTGGTGCCCTCTGTTGGTGGCCCAAGGTGCAGCTTTCACCATGCTGGTGCCTGTATCGGCACTGGTGCCTTGAGCCACCGATATACAGGTCCCTTGAGGCATGAAGCATCGTGTAAGAACCTGCAGAGAGGCAGAAGGGCTTGGACTCCAGTGTTTGCCAAGAGAGGCAGGGAACAGCTTATAACTTGTGCAGGCAAACCTTCAAATTCGCCACAGGAGCAGAAAGGGTAAAAGAGGGAGAAGTGAATGAAAGAGAGATGGGAAAGAGAAATAAGGGAAAGAGTCAATGAAAGGAGGCAATAGAGACAAAATGATAAAGATCCCGAGGATGTATATTGGCAATGCAGGCTTCTCTCTGCCTTTAGTATCCTCTCCCTGAACTCGGGGGTCTTACCATTGGCTTTTGTATCCAGCACAGGAATGGCAATAAGAAAATCCTATACTTCCACACTTCATAATTCACAAAACCCCAACTGTTTGTCCCCAAGGGAGGCATGATGCTGTTTGAATGTCGCTAGCTTCATACTGCACTCCCTCCATCAGCCCTGCGATTGGGCCGGCGGTGACAGGTAGGTGCCACATTATTGAGCAGGCCAGCACCCAGAGAGGTTTCAGTCCCCCCGAGGTGGCTCTGGAGGGCTGTGGAGGTATTAAAGCTGGCAGCCATCCTGTTAAGGCTGAGAAAAGATTGATCCAGGGATGAATGAAGCTATTTCATTGTCATTCCAAAGTGTGATGTTTACAGGCTGCTCTTCTCATAGCTTTCAGAGAGCTTCAGATGGCTCTCCGGGGAGGAGGGGGCTTCAGTTTATGCCAACAACATCCTCTCAGTGCCTTTAACTCCAGCACAGCATCCAAGAATCACTTCCTCACCTTCCAAGTCTCAACAAATTCCTGCTAAGTTCAGGCCCCTGGTTCCAGAAATCAAAATCCTCTTTCTTGTCCCTAGGAGCAACTGCAGCTGAGAAACAGGGGACACACCTTGTAAGATTCCTTCTACCCTGGCCTACCTCCTGGGAATTCAAACACCAAGGCTGTGCAGGTCCAGATTAACAGACACAAAATGGAGATGGACACTTTTTTCCTGTCTCAATTCTAGCATTCATGAGAAGGGTCAGACTGCGCCCTGGAGACTGCCGTCCTGTTTATCCACAGAACAGGTACAGCATTGGCAGGGGCATGCTCCCCCACACTGTCCTGCCAATGTGCCTCAGCCCTGACGTGGAGGTGCCAGGACAAACTGGGCCATGTTTATTTGTGGCACCTCTCCTGAGGCTGTCCACACATGTGGAGGCATCTGTGACATAGGCACTGATCCATTGAGAGCAGGAATGGGACTCAACAGCTCTTCATCCAAAGGCCTCTGCATAGGTGATACAGCCATTTTATGCAGCAAACTGCATTGTAACATGTAGCTGGAGAAGAAACAGTAGCAGACAGTGGAGACCACTGGGTGATGTTTTTAAACGTGATTTTTGCACTGAAAGCTTTCCTAGACATTTCTCATCAGTGGCCCCACAACCACGCAGGTCTGATTCCTGCTCCCACTGAAGTGGGATCAGGACTGGGCTGATGGTGCTGGGCAGCAGATGTTACGTCAAGACTGAGGCCACCACGAGACTCCGAAGGAGAGAAGTGGGGGAGAAGAGAGGCCAGGAGGGCTCTAGAGCCCCCCTCCCCCCGAGTAACCCACAAACTGGTGCCTTTGGACTCTCTAGACACTTGTGCCTACAGAGGTCATCACCTCCTGGTTCTACTTCCTGCTCCAGTCACCTGAGACGGGTCAAGTTACATAAAGTTAACACACTCATCACACAACAGGATCAGTATCCATTGTTATGGAGTATGCCAGCCACTCAAACACTGGGAGAGTGGAGTGTAGGTTACGTGTGCAGCTACACATTGCAATGAAAGGGAGGTGCACACTGTTATTGCAGCGTGTAGCTACGAGGCAGTGAAAGGCTCTGTCGTGGGGAGCTGTGCCAGAGCCTTTTCCCCTTTGCCTCTCCCCTGCTGGAGCTTTTCACTGCAGTACGGACAGGCTCTGGCAGGGGGGAACTGCTGGAGTCCTTCCCCCCTACCTCCCCCTTGCCGGAGTCCTTCACTGTGGCAGGGAAAGGCTCCAGCAGCAGGACACTACACTGCTAAAAATAGCGTAGACATGGGAGGCACTGCTTGGCCATCTCGAGAACTGTGTAGGATAAATGTCCTAGGGTTCATGTTTCTACTCTAGTCGCCTAAGTAGTGCATCACCCTCTACACTGCTATTTGTACCCATGCTAGCTGGGCGTGAGGTGTCTGTACTCTACATACTGCCACAAATGGAGATCTACCTTGAGAAAGCCATTTGGGTTCATGTTTTACAAAAGCAGTATTGACAACCCAAGTTTCAGCATCGTGAATCAGCCTCCCCTCCCCCCCCCCCCCCCAA